AGGCAGTTTGGCGCTTACTCAAAAAGCTGAACGTAGAAATTCCTTATGACTCAGCTATTCCATTGCTTGGAATATACTCCAAGAAAATGAGAACTGTGGCTTAAATGGAGAATTGTACACCAGTATTCATAGCAGTGTTATTCACCATCACAAGAATATCGAAAGAGCCCAGATGTCCAACCACAAATGAATGGATTGAGAAGTTGTGGTAAATTCACATAATAGAATATGATGCAGCACGCAGGAGCAAGGATTTTGTAAATTACCACATAACTTGTGAGGGACTGGAAAGCATTATGCTGAGTGAACTATCTCAGTCCCACAAGGAGCAAATACTGTATAAAACTAATATTGTAGAATGAGTATGAGGCTCCAAGCAGGGTGGGGGTGAGGGGGGCGCGGTGAAAGCAGAGGGGTGAGGATGAGTGGTGGCGAGTGTAAATCATAGGGTTGCACAATTTGATTGGGGGATAAAGGAAATAGGAAGGATCTTTTGTAAAAAACAATGGATTCAAATTTTGTAAATAAATCACTATAAATTTTTTTTAAAAAGAAACAAGCAAGCATTGGTAAGGCATCATATAGTATATGCAGTATGTTACTATTTGCATAAGAAACGATGAGGATATAATAGGTCTCTGCTATAGGGAGCTCTGAGGGAGGTCGGGTGGTCGAATGGGTGAGGAGTTGCACTACCAACCCAAAGACAGGTGGTTAATCTCCTCTCGTGTAATTTACAGCATCCAAAATCCCACTGGAGAGTTAGCCATGAGTTGGTTCCAATGCAGTGGCAGTGAGCTTGAGTTTTAATAGATGCAAATAATCTCTCTTTTAAAAAGTATTTATTAATTTTAATGAAAGTTTACAGAGACTTAGGATTTCCAGTCATTCACTGTTGAACAGATGCATAAAATCTCTGTTAAGGAAAGCTTCTTTGTTTATATCTCTCCTCCCCTGGAAGAAAGCAGATCCAAGGAGCAAAGGTTTGTCTGTTCTGTTCACCATTGTATTCCCAACAGGCAGAGCATAATGAAGACTTTTTCCCCCTGAATTTTTCCTTTTTAATATTTTCTTTTGGTGGCCATATGATCAACCAAACATACATCCATTTGCAATTTCTTTTTTAAAAAATTTTTTATTGAAATTTATTATTAATGTCAGTAACAGAGACTTTGGATTTCCATTCATTCATTGTTGTACTTTTCTTCCCTCCTAACCCTCCCCCCTAGTACACTACCCTCTTGGAAAAGTAAAAGAAAAATTCTTTCATTGTTTTACAAACCCTCCCCCAGGTCCACTCCATCATGTAGCCTTCACTCTAGACCTCTGTCATGACAAAAATAACCTAATCACATATCTCTTTTAAACAGTTTTC